GCACAAGCCCCTCGGGAGGACGGGCCAAGCCAGCTCTGGCTTCAGGGGCTGGGGGAAGAGGCAGGGACACTTTTAGCAGCAAAGGCCTCGCTTCCCTCAGGAGAGCAGAGGGGAGGGGTGTGTGATGGAGCCTGACTAGTGTGCGGCCAGTTAAACACAAAAAAAAATAAAAAAGGCAGAGGGAGGGAAGCAACAAACATGGAGAACACCTCCTCTCCAGCCCTCCAGAGCACGGGGTTAAACCAAGGGGGTCAGGATGAGACACCTCCTTCCCTCCTCCAGGCACAGGGTTTCCAGCGAGCCCAGCGCCAGGCACAGCCCCGGCCAGCACCAGAGCCCCCGCCGTGCCCCCCGGCCACGCACCGGGCTCCTGCTCCCCCACTGCCCCACACCCGGCCCCGGGAGGGGAGAGCAGTTGAGGTGGCAGTTTGATGGCACGACTGGACGGTCCATGCGGGCAGCAGCGTCCTCAGCGCCCTGCCAGGCACAGGTGGGATGGATGCCGAGGGTGAGCTTCACGCTCCAGCCCCCGGCACAGTCCAGCTCCTGCCTCCCTTATAGGAAGCCCTCCTTCCGGAACTGCTCGTGCAGGATGTCTCTGTACTGGTCGAAGCCGCCCTCAATGCGGGTCACGGTGGAGTTCTCACACACCCACAGCTCCTGGCACACCAGGCGGATGAAGCGCTCGTCGTGGGACACCAGAATTACACCACCCTGCCAACACACAAGGCCGGGAGATGGGAACTTCACAGAGGGCCCAGCTCTGGTGGTGTGTCAGTCCAGCCTGCACACAGGACCTCACGTTTCTATCCAGTAAAGGGAAAACTCCACAGTACTGCACTAGATGGGACCCCATCCCAGCCTTTCCTTCCTTCAGGGGCACAGACAGATCACATGCGGAGGAGACGTGCAGCAGTAACAATATTTAGCTTCCCCTCTTGGAAGGCAAGTGATTGTGAACTGGCTCTCCAGGTCTCTGATAATTTCAAGGATACAGATTCTAGTTGGAGTCAATGGCAGTTGAAAGGAGGCTCGGCCAGGCCCTGAGAAACCTCAATCAAGCTTTTTCTTTCACAGGAGAATTACCTCAAGCCAGGCAACTATAAACCAGTGAGAACCAGGTTGATCACAGTGGTATCTGGAGTTTGGGTCTTTGGAGATAAGCCATAAAATGTGCCTAATGAAGATCTGAGAGGATCCAAGGCAGGGCTGAGCACTGCACACAGCACTTGAGGAGTCCCAGGGTATAGGTGACTGGACAAGGTGCTCTCTGGTCTGCTGTTGCCTCTCTCAGCCAGCCCTAGCCAAAGTCAGCAAGTGAAACAAACCACCAGGATGGACATCTAAAGCTGAAATATGACTGACCCTTCCCAACATCTGTCCTGGACTTGAAGCCACCACTGATACTCAACTGTTCATCTCTGGTGAGATACCAAATAACTTAAGCTGGAGGGGCTGCAAGGACCATTAGAAAAAGAGATCTCACTGAGGGAGCCTTACCCGGAACTTATTCAGAGCCTTTGCCAGTGCCTCGATGGTTTCCATGTCCAGGTGATTTGTTGGCTCATCCAGGATGTAGAAGTTTGGACTGGAATAGAAAACGGCCCTGAGCACTCATTGGAACAGGCCCAGGCTGGGTCCACAACCCTCTGCACTGCAGGGACCTCTGCCAGGACATGGCATTAGCCAGGAGAAAAGCTGTAGCCACCAGCATTTGCACAGCCCCAAGACTGGCACTGACCAGCTCCAGGGACACCTCTTCTCCCTCTGAGCCCAAAGCAGCAGAAGAAAGCCACTTGCCTCCATCCACACGGTGCCCCCAGGGTGACAACCACCCTCCCCATTAAAGTCTCAAGAACAAGGCTTCCACGAGGCAGTGGAAAGTCCCTGGATGTCCAGTGATCCTGGCTCCAGGGATGGAACTCTGCAAAAATTAACAGCTTTTGGGAGAAAATTACCAGGACATAGTCATCTGGGCAAAGGCCACGCGACTCTTCTGACCTCCAGACAGGCTGGCCACAGGACGCACGGCCAGCTCCCCCGAGACACCGTAGCTCCCCAGCTGATGCCGGTACTCCTCCTCTGTCTTCCCTGCAGGAACATGTCACAACACAGCTATGGCACACTGCAGTGACACCAGGCCCTTGGTGGGCACCATGGCTGGGCAGCCTGTGTCAGATGGGTACAGTGGGAGAGAAATTTAGCAATTCCCTCCCAAGCGGGGGTTTTGCGCGGGAAACCTGACTCCAAGCGACACTGTCTCCAATGCCCTGTCACTCATTACATCATGTTAAGTGAAGAAAAGAGCAGGAGGTTTTGGCAGCTGGAAAAGGGGCATCAAGTGCTCACTCTGTGCCCAGCAGGAAAGTGGGTCAGCTGTCTCCAAAACCCAGCCATGGAGGAGCATCAGCCTGAGGTCTGCAGGCTGCCAGCAACCCCTGCACAACCAGCTCAGCTTCTCAAGGCTGGTGTCCCCAGCTTGTGCTGGATGTAGAGAGTCAAGCCAGAGCAGATGGTGCCCATTAAGCAGACAGAGCTGTCTGCCCAAGGCCATGGAACAAACCCATGCTGCTCCATGCAGGGCAAAGGAGACCTCAACAGCCCACATCTCTTGGGATCTCCAAAACTCACCTGGGAACTTTCTTGCCAGCAACTCTACAGCACTGATGTTTAAATCCAATTGATCCACATGGTGCTGGCTGAAATAACCAATCTTTAGATTTCTGTAGAATGAGAAGAGAGATGGGGAGCTGGTACCAGGCCCTGCAACCACGGCACTTGAAGTTGCAGCTACAGGAAGGGGGGATATGCGTGTGTGGGTGTGCACGACCCATCCCCAACACTAGGGCAGCCAAAGCACAGCCCAGAAGCCCTCCAGCTGCACCATTCCTCCCAGTTCCCCAGCCCTTTCTACCAGGTACCTGTGAGCATGTCTGATCCCTCTGACTGGTGCCAGCTCCCCCATTAAGATCTTTAGCATGGTCGACTTGCCAGCTCCGTTTTCCCCAACCTAGAGAGCAGCAGCAGCATTGGAGAATGTGAAACCCTTGAAGGTACTTTGGAGAGGGGAGCAGTGATCAGGGCATTTCAGCTCGCTTGGATGATCAGACAGCAGAGGTCAGGATAAGAGTCTAACCAGCAGCTCCAGCTACCTGGAAGCTGCATTTCTATCTCTGAGGAACAGGACAGGCAGCAATGCTAGATGTTCTCTCCCCAACCCTTCAGCCTAAGGATGACCTGGTCCCAGCCTCATCTGCAAGCAAAGAGCATCTCTCTGTTGCCCCACCCATTGCAGCAGGAGCCCCCAGTAGATGCTGCTGCTATCAGCTAACTAGTTACAGGGAAGATGGACCCAGTTTCTTCTCAGAGGCTCCTGGTGAAAGGATGAAGGGCAACAGGCACAAGTCGCAAATTCTAACTGGTACTAGGAAAAATGTTCCTCAAAATGAGGATGATCAAATGCTGCAATGGGACCCAGAGAAATGGGAGAAATATTCCTCCCTGGAGATACCCAAGACTCAAGTGGACAAAGACCTGAGCAACTTGACCTAACATCAAAGCTGGCCCGGCTTTGAGCAGAGATCCCCCAATGTCCCTCAGAGCCACCATTGTTCTGCAGTCCCACATACCACACAGATGCGGGACTCCAGGTCAGCAGAGACGGAGAGGGAACGGAAGATGTAGTGACTTGGGTCGTAGTAGAAGTCTACTTCATCTAGCTGCAGGATGGGGGGGGAGAACTTCTCAAAGCCATCAGGGAACCTGGGAAGGTAGGAAGAGGTCAGAGATGGCCAGGAACTTCAGAGACACTGCTCCCAGCCACCCAAGACAACTGCTGCAACCCCTCAGGTGGCAAGAGGGGCTCCCTACCATGCAGGGCCTCTCAGAAGGATGGTCACAAGAAGGGGGGACAGATCTGCAGCCTAAGCCCCAGGAGGGGACCCAGTCTAAACATGGGGCCCTGTCTGGGCTTCCTCTCAGAGTCAGGCTGGCCCATGGGAAGGGGTCAGGGACAAGACCCAGGAGGAGCTCATGTCAGAAACGGAGGCAGGCACCCTCCAAGCAAGGGCTCAGAGGACACTTACTTCATGATCACCTCAGACTCCTTGTCCACAGGTTTCAGCTCTGGCCTGCAAGAAGTGGAGACAGGTAACAGAGACACCTCGCACTGGGGGTCTCTTCCCACACCCCACATAGTCTTCAGCTCTGCAATACCTCATCCTAGCCAAAGCTTCTGGACCAGAGACAGAGAACCCAAACCCCACACCTCCCTAGTATCACTCAGGTGCCTTGAGAACCTGTTTCTTCCCATAAGCACTGCCCCCTCCCAACCTCCAGAGAGGGGCAGGACAGGCACTTACAGCTTCTCCAACAGCTTGAGCTTGCTCTGCACTTGGGAAGCGCGGTTGGCATTGTAGCGAAAGCGGTCAATGAAAACCTACAAGAGAGAAAAGCACCAAAGAGCCCAAGGTCCTCTTCAGTCCCAGCCACCCCACCCTGTTATCAAGCCTCCTACAACAACAGAGCCACATCCAAGGGTCTAGAAGCCTAGAGAAATGGTTAAGGCTGGGAGAAGAGTGCCCCAGAAGTACTGGCTTCTCCCAGTACCTGGATGTGCTCACGGTACTGCTGCTGGGCTTCATACTCTCGCTGCTGGTTCTTCAGCCGTTCCTCCTTGATCTTCATGAAGTTCTCAAAGTCCCCACGGTACGTGTCCAGCCGCCGCGAGTGCAGGTGGATGATGTCTGTGGCCACTGCGTTCAGGAAGTTCCTGTCGTGGGACACCACGAGGATGGTCGACTGCCAGGTCTGGAGGAGAGAGCAAGGGGGAGGCCCGAGTGCCATCAGGCCAAAGTGCAGGTCTTGGTCCCACCACAGCAAGACACCAGCCTGGAGGACCTCTCTGTTCCTTGCCCTTACTCTGTCCTGGGGCCTCTCACCACCTCCTTACCTGCAAGTAGGTCTCGAGCCACAAAATGGCCCTCACATCCAGCATGTTTGTTGGTTCTGAGGGAAGAAAAAGAGGTGCTGAGGTCAGGAGGGATGAAGGTGGCTGGATTATGCTTTTTTTCCACAGGAAAGGCAAGCAATCAGTGTTGTAAAGGAGGAAACCCCGTGTGGAATCCTGCCCTCACAGGTCAGGAGACTCATGTGTGGGGGGTGTGGGCACAGGGTGAAGGTTTGGCCAGGGATGCTCCTCCCATTTCATTTTGGTACCCAGACCCCAGTGTCCAGCAGCAGCCCCTTGCCTAGACCCCCATCTCCGAGGTGGGCATCTCCCCAGGGAGCCAGTCCAGCACCAGGGTCACCCCCTGCAGTGAAGGGACTCCTTTCCAGCACAGGCTGGCAGCAGGGCCCATCACACAGGGAAAGGAACAGCTTGGGGACCCACAGGTCACCTGGCTGGGGCACAGGGCAGAGCTCTGTTGAGTGCAGCCAAAGTGGCCACCCCGGCAGACTTCCCCACACCACTGCCATCCCTGCCTGTCATGCCAGGGGAGCAGGGGCAGCCCTGCCAGCCCAGCCCTGTCATGCTGGGCTATTTTGAGCAGGCAGCTAAAGGCCACAGTGTGTTCCCAACCCCAGCGAGGGCATGGGCAAGCCCAGCGATGGAGAGGACTCGCAGTATCGACTTACCATCCAGCAGAAGGAGATCTGGCCTAGGAAAAAGAAGACATGGTGTCAGGAGCAAAAAGAGCACAGGGTCAGTGCAGAGTGCATTTCACCACACACACAGCTGTGATGCCTCCAACGCTCCCCACCCTGAGCACCTGAGGCAAGAGGACCCCCAGGCATCACCCCTGCACCTCACAGCATGGACAGCAAGGGGGGTTAACACCATGGCGTGAAGGCCTGGACACCAACCTGGCAAACAGGGCTCTGGCTAAGGCCAGTCTCATTCTCCAGCCTCCGGAAAACTCTCTGAGGATATAAGAGGTTGCAGAGAGGGGTTACTGTTTAATGCAGAACACCTCTGTGTTTGCCTGCCAGGCTCCCTGCTGCCCCACGGCCTTTCAGCTCTGCTGTCACCAGGGACAGTGTGTCCCTGCAGAGATCTCAGGCACAGCACAAGATCCATGCTCTGGCAGGCAGGTGTCTTGGTACCCCCAGGGCAGGAGACCAAAGTGGAAGGGTGGGAATAGACCCTTGCTCTCCCACAGGGCTCCCCTCCCATGGCTGCAGCCACAGCAGTGCTTGGAGCTTGCTAGGAGCAGCGTCTCCCCAGACCCATTTCTGTCTCAATGCCCAGAGCTCGGAGACTTACTTGGTTGTTTGCTGTTGCATCTTTGCATTGAAGCCCAGCCCAGCAAGAATGACGGATGCCCTAGGGAAAAGGGGATAGAACTGGAACCCAGCTACAGCATCCAACTGCAGAGCACAGTCTGAGGTCCTGGACCCATGGTCATCAAGGGGACTCTGCTGCATGGTTTAAAGCCATTCTGGCACAAGAAAACCTCCCTGCACACCCAAGAGGAGCACTTGGCTGGGAAATGCAGCCCAGCTGGGAACAGCATCTACATGAAGTCCCAGGGGATTCACAAGAAACTTTCAGTTCTTTGGCCAGGAAGAAAGTCCCTGCCACCAGCATCCCAGAAACACTCCCCAAACACCAGGAACCTGAGGAGGTCCAAGAGGAGCAGCAGCAACAATGCAGACCATTTAGGGAAAAAGAAAATAAAAATCCCTCCATCCGACTACTTTTAACCAAGCAGAGCTGTGACAGAAGAAGAGACAAGAGAAACGGCAGGGAGAGCCCTCTGTCCTCACATGCTGGAACCTGGGGCTATAGTACCACCCTTCCATGCCCCAAACCACTACACATGCCAACAGAGAGCGGTGCCCACAGGACTGCCTCACCTTGCTGGGGCCTTGTCTGCCTCAATCTCCTCCAGCTTCGCGTAGATCTCCGACAGCCTGGCACCTTCTGTCCCTTCTCCCCTGGAGCAGGACAAAGAGGAGTGTGTGGGACTGCCCAAGGTCAAGACTTAAGTGCTGGAGGAGGCTGATCTCCCCAGGCAGGACTGAGTTGGGCAAGGCACAGCCCAGCCCCATTGGAGCGCTCCGTTTAAAGGGAGAGACCTCAGAACAAGACCTCTCAGTCAAGAAGCCACAGAAGGGCTGGATACCCAGCAGCAACACCTCACCTGCCAGCATTAACCTTAGCTGTCAGGTCCCTCTCCTCCCGCAGCAGGCTCTCCCGGGTGGTGTCACACTCCAGCACGCTCTGCAGCGCCGGCGTCTCGTCCCCTGCCACCTCCTGCTCCACGTGGAGGACGCTGATGTGCGAGGGGATGCGCAGGCTGTGGCTGGCAATCATCTTCAGCAAGGTGGTCTTCCCCAGCCCGTTCCTGCCCACCAGCCCATAGCGCCGTCCAAACGCCAGGTTCAGGTCTGCTCCCGCCAGTAGGACACTGCAGCAAGAGGCATGGAGAGGTTACCTGCTTGCCCCATGGAGAGGGAGACAACCCCTACACACCTGCCCCTAGAGTATTTCAGACTGTGCTGGGGTCAAGCAACCATCACAGACTTCTCCTGCCCAAAGCCAACAGGGTCAGGTACCCACCTTGCTTCTTGATCCTTCCCACACCTTGACACTTCCTAATCACTCCCCAATCCAGCTTCAATGACCCACGGTCAAAAGCCCCAGCCAGGATCAGTCCCACCTGCACTCACCGCTCACCGAAGGACACGTCAAAGTTCTCAATGCGAACATCATACGACTTGTTCTTGCCTGATGACTCCATGCGAGTCTCCTTCTTGCTGGCAGCTTGGCTGGCAGATGCCTCCTCAAGGACCCTGTGAGCAGGCAGAAGGCACAGAAAGGGGCTCAACAGGAAAGCTCTGGTACAGCCAGAGCCCTGCTACACTCAGCAGGGTGGGACGGGGATGCCTGAGTCTCCTTCCATACTCACAGAGGGCCAGTTGACTTCAGGGAATCCCGCTCCATCCTCTTGTCCTGCTTGGCTTTCAACCTGGCTTCCGCCTTCTCCAGTTTCTTGGCATTCACCATCTGTAATATAAAAGCAGAGAGTTTTAAGAAACGAGAGCATCTTCAGCAAAAGCCTCAAAAGCCCAACTCCAGAAGAAAAGGCATCATTCAGTCCCTCATACCTAGAAGGAAGGGAGGTAGGACAAGGGAACTGGGACAGGTTCACACACATTTTGAGGAACCTGTAATTAGGCCAGGAAGTCGCATCAAGAATGAAGTCCTAAATCAACTGCTCACATGCAAAGGCAAAGAGCTTGGCTGACCCTAACATAGGGCCAATTCTGTAGCTCCAGGGACCTGGGTCAGCCAAGTCACTTCAAGAGCAGCAACCTGCTATCTCAGTGGCTCCTCCACTACATGATGTGCCCACTCTTGCCCTGGACCACAAGCTGTTTCCCTTCCTGACATGTTAAAACTTTAGCCAGTTTGGAACAGAGCTGGCTAACACAGTGGATCAATCATGGCAGAAACAAAAAGTATTTAATTAAACCTGAAGGCAAGAAGGAGCCAAGTGTTTCAGCCTGGCCACTGCCTCTGGCGAGGCTCTCAGCTCACTCTACCTTATTCTTGCGTCAAGTCAAATATTTGTGGCTGACCAAGAACGCTCCTAGATATTTCCAGGCAGCTCTGCAGCCACCAGAGCACGTTACAGACCCGCACGCTGGACTGAAGAGCATCTTGTTATGGGAGCTGTGACCCCGAACCCACAGACAGAGTCACTCTGGAAACTAACCCAAGCTCCCTGAACCTCCCAGTTCTTGAAGAACTTGAGAAGCCTCCCTTGAATCATCTCCGTTTTTTCTGAAGACCCTTTGTTTGACTTGTGGATGTGAGAGCCAGAGAGCAAACCCAGCAGCAACAGCTTCCATGCCAAACCCAGCAGAGGCTGCCAGCTTTCTCTGAAGACTCCCATTCAGACACACGGAGATCACATTAGGTCTCAGCCTTCAAGTGAGGGGTCCTCGTCCTCAACACGTTGCCCCAGCAAGGGAGAGCTCTACAAGAGCAGCCTGGCAGAGAGGCTGCCCAACCTGTACAGCCACCTCCTTGCTTCACAGACGCACAACTGCAGTGCTCCCCAAGCTTGGACTTTGGCACATCCAGCGCAGAGGACAAGCCAGGTCACTCCTGAGCAGCTACATGTGTAACCAGCAAAGATACTCTGATCTCCTCCAGGTCACTGGAGTGTAACTGCTTCCAAACTTCTCTGCTCTTGATCTTACTTACTAAACTGTGACAACCCACAGCCACTCCTAAAGCTGGGCTTACAACCTCCCTGCAGCAGGTCCCTGGAAAGCAGCTGCTCCATGCTAACTCCCCACCTGTGACACCCAACATCTAACCATTAGCCAGGGTTTACCCTTTCACTGCATATGGCAAGATGTCATCCCCATACATCCTGTTTTCTCAATGAAAGGCCTTGCTGTAGAAGCCAAAGGTCCTGTGAAAGTTGGAGAAGCTGCACTCTGAGCACCACCATCAAGCACACTTTGAAATCTAATAAGAAATTACAGCAAAGTAGATCTTATCAAATAAATAAGCTGTTCGGACCTGTTGAGCCTCTTTAACAGACCAAGGTCAAGAGTCTCCCAAATTACAGTGAATCTGAGGATGAGGAGCAGTACCCCCTGCAGCTGAGTCCCTCACCAGGACAGCTGCTGGTCCCAGCTGCTCCCCAGGGGTGAGGTGACCGGAGCAGGGCACCTGCAGCCCTGCACAGTAACGGCTCTCCCTGGCCCTGCTGTTTACATACGAGGGCAGGGCCCCACTTACCGAGGTCTGGCCTCTCTTCAGCAACAGCCCTGGCAGCAGGTCCACGCTGTTCTCAGCTGCAACAAGACAGTTGGGTCGGTGAACACCTGCTCCATGGAGGCTGCACCAAGTGCTGCCTTAGTGGTTGCCCACGACCAAGCAGGGCTGTTCCCTCTCCAAGGGGACCAAAGGGTGGCCCCTCTCCTTCCACCCCACGCAGCAGCCAGGTGCTGCTGGCCATAGCTCAGGAGCAGGAGGAGAAAGAGCCTGAGGTGTGTGGTGGGGGGATGTGCGGCCCTCCAAGGTCAGGTGAGCACACACTCAGCACCCCGACCGCGGGACAGGAGCTGCAGGAGAGACCCGCTGTGTGGCTGGAGGGTCCCTGGCAGGTGCCACTCACCGTATCCATCAGTGATCTGGGAGAGCTGGATGGGAGCGTCCAGCAGCACCTGGCTGCAGCGCTGGGCCCGGCCCTCGTCCCTGCGGGAGGAGGAAAGGGGTGAGGAGGGTCGGGCGCGGGGGGGAGCGGGGCAGGGGCAGCCCTGACAGCTGCAGGGTGTTGAAGAGGCGCTGGCAGATCTCCCGGATGGCGCCGTCGTCCTTGGCG